TCTATTTTACTGATACAACGACACGCAGGTATGTTTGTATGCATGTGTCATACGAATATACATACACATACAAAAACCATACCAATATGACCACATACCAAACATTATTAAGTCAATATAAACTGGTAGGAAGTCTACTCTGTTGCGCAAATGAGAGATGTCATTTCGAATTTTGAGCAAAATCTATTAGTGTGTAGCATCTGTGATTTTCATTGAGTAGACCTTCTCCTTTAATATAGCCCAGTAAAATAAATCAATTCTTTCTTCTTTCAGCAAAATCATATTTAATCTGTGGAGGTAATAAAATTGTTTATGAAATTTTCTGTGTCCTCAGACTTTTGGGACAGCCTGCACGATGCTGGTAGTTGCATACCAAACATTATTACAAGTCATTTTCAACTGGAAGGAAGTCTACTCTGTTGCGCAAACGAGAGATGTAGTCTCGAATTTTGAGCAAAATCTATTAGTGTGTAGCATCTGTGATTTTCATTGAGTACACCTCGTTTAGCAGGGCCCACAAAAATAAATCAATTCTTTCTTCTTTCGACAAAAACCATGTTTAATCTGTGGAGCTAATATATATATATATATATATATATATATATATATATATATAATGAGATTTCCTATGTGTCCAGACTTTAGGGACAACCTTTAGTATACATTTGACTAATAAATTTAAGTTTGAATTTAAAAATATATATATATTTATGGTTTTAAAAATGCGATATTTGTTAATAACATTATTATTCTTGTACGCATGCGCGTACCTCTTTTTTACCTACCAACGGGCAGAAAGACAAAATATGGCTTCCAGTTCAGTCACCTATATTTTTCCGCATTCACACGCTTGCCCACCCATCTCCTTACCTTTCACCCTTTTTTTTTCTCACCTGTCCCCCACCCACAACCTAGTCGAACCCTCACGCACAAGCCGGTTACTGAAACGACTCCTTTCCCTCTCAACTTTCACTCTCTCCACTATTATCCTTCTAACCTCTGACCTCTAAGCCTTCAACGTTGTTATTTTTTTCAGTCTAGTCGAAACCTTGCCCTGCAACTATAAACGGAAAAATAGGTCATATTTTTTTTTAGGCTATCTCATATTTCAAATGCAGTTATTAGGTGGCGTAACCGTAATAGACGTGAAAAACGGAAGCAACAGAAAACAGTTTATGTACTCGGGGCTGACATTACTTAATGGGCGACATAGTTTAGAATCTATACTCAGCAGTTTCGAGTCCAGTTTGAAGCCGATCAATGAAGTACTGATTTTCAATTTTGAAGTGGTAATTTTCTTTCTTCCTTTAATAGGGATACTAAGAAACTTCAAAGTAATTATGAGAGGATCCTATTAAAAATAAGTAGAGAAAACTTGTCTAAATTATTTAATGAAAGATGCCTTTATATATATATATATATATTTCGCATATTTTGACAGCATGTTTTCATTAAGACATGACTCATTGAATAATTTAGACAAGTTTTGTCTACTTAAAGATATTAAGAAACTTGTCCGTAATTACGAGGAGAACCTGTTAAAAAAATTGTCTAAATTACTTAATGAAATATATATATATATATATATATATATATATATATATATATATATATATATGAATTTCAAGAGGATAGAATCCAGGTAGAACTTAATGTCCAGGACAGAGTAAGAATATAATATAAAAGGTTCAAACACTAATATTCCATGGTTATAATTTATTACACTGGAATGGAAATCACGATCCAATTCATCAGACATTTCCGACCTTGTAGGTCTAATGATTTGGATCGTGATTACGATTCCAATGTAATAAATTATAGCCATGGAATATTAGTGTTTGATTTTTATATATATATATATATATATATATATATATATATATATATATATATATATATATATACACACACACACACATATATATATGTATATATATATGTATATATATTGCACATATTTTGACTGCGTGTTTTCATTAAGACATGACTCATTGAATAATTGAGACAAGTTTTGTCTACTTAAAGATACTAAGAAACCTTTCCGTAATTACGAGAGGATCTTGTTAAAAATAAGTAGACAGAAATTATTGAATGAAATATGTCTCATTAAAATAATTTAGACAAGTTTTTTTTTTACTTATTTTCAACAGGGTCCTCTCATAATCACAGACAATCTTCTCAATATCCTTATTATTCGAAATAAATGAATCAATATGGTAATTTTCTCTCTTCCTTTAATAAGGATACTAAGAAGCTTGATCGTAATTATGAGAGGATCCTTTTAAAAATAAATAAACAAAACTTGTCTAAATTATTTTATGAACATGCGATTATATATATATATATATATATATATATATATATATATATATATATATATATATGTTATATATATATATATATATATATATATATATATATATATATATATATATATATATATATATATATATATATATTATATATAAGTATATTGGGGAGCATTTAGGACGCAAGGGATTACAGAAAATTTAGAGCAAGATCAGATAGGAGTGATAGAAGAAAAGAATGAGGAGAAGGATAGTGGCAACTGGAGATGTCGATTGACATTACACTTGAATAGCTGGAGATTATAGCTCTCAGGGAAACTGGAATAGGGAAGGGAGCTCCACAGGCGAGAGGTGCGAGACATGAAGCTATTGGAGTAAAAGAGACGGCTACATTTAGGAGTTTCAACAGTGAAGGGGTGAGAGCGGGATGCCAGCCTCGTAGGTAGCTTGAACTCTTGACGTCTGGGAACTAGTGAATGCAATCCTTAATTTTTTAAGTTACTTTCGTATTGTCTGATAACCTTAATTCCATTATCATTGAAAGACGAAAGGAAAACACCATATTGATACATGTTTAAATCCAATCTAAATATCTACTTAAAATAAATAGACAAAACTTGTCTATATTATTTAATGAAACATGCATTAATGAAAAATTAATATATATATATATATATATATATATATATATATATATATATATACATATATAAAACAAATGTGAGAAAAGAACAGTTGAAGTCAAAATCCAATGCTCGTAGTATTTACTTTATAAAAGTGCTCAATACAAAGTAGAGAAATATCATATTATTATATTTTTATTATAAGAGATTATAATAAAAACATTGAAAACATACAAAAGCTTTCATGTTTCAATACTTTGATCGGACTTCCTCAGTCGACGGTAAGTAACTGGTGATTAAATCATTTTAAATGAATATTTATCTATTCCCTTTCTTTTATCTATCTATCTATCTATCTATCTATCTATCTATCTATCTATCTATCTATCTATCATTCCTTTATCTATTCTCATTTTTTCATTTGTTTATCGATCTATCTATAATATCTTATAATATATATATATATACAAATACATTGAGTCAATTGCTTCTTCCACCGCGAGGAAAGTTGGCTCTCTGTACCGCGCCAGGAAATTTTTCTCCCCGGAATCGATACTTCAAATATACAAATCAACCATTCGCCCTTGCATGGAGTATTGCTGCCATATATGGTCTGGGGCACCTTCTGTTTACGTCGGAGTTTTTGACAAGATCCAGAGACGGATATGTAATATAATTGGCCTTGATCTGGCATCTCGTCTACAGTTGCTCTCTCACAGACGCGCCGTCGCCTCTCTCTGTCTTTTCTACAAATACTTTCATGGTAATTGCTCCGATGAGCTGCTTTCACTAGTTCCCAGACTCGATGAATTCAAGCGCGCTACGAGGCTGGCATCGCGATCCCACCCTTACACTATAGAAATTTTTAAATGTAGCCGTCTCTTCTACTCCAATAGCTTCATACCTCGCACCTCTCGCCTGTGGAACACCCTTTCCAATTACTGATTCCCTGAGAGCTATAATCTCCAACTATTCAAATGTAATGTCAATCGACATCTCCAGTTACCTTGATCTACCCACTATCCTTCTCCTCATCCATTCTTCTATTACTCCTACCTGCTCTTGCTCCAAATCTTCTACAACCCCCTGCATCCTAGTGGCTTCACGCCTTGCTCGGGGTGTAATGCTATATATATATATATATATATATATATATATATATATATATATATGTGTGTGTGTGTGTGTGTGTGTGTGTGTAAACACTGAGGTCAATACCATGCAGCGACAGTCAGTTTCATGCCTGAACACAATATTCAGGCCATGTTTGTTGTATGTTGGTTCGTCTATTTATATATGCTGGCTAATGGTCTATTATGGTTAGCAAGGTCTATTGTATTATCCTAACAGTTATTGGCTAAGACAGTGACAACTGCATTTCATATTATTCTATAGGTTTATTAATTAAATACAACTGTGGATTTCAATGCGATTATCTATAGCTATTGTATGGTATAATTGTTAAGTTTTTTTTTTTTACTCATTATTGATTATTTAATTATATGTTATTGATTAATATTATTACATTTACTTGTGTTTACGCGGGCATTCGTAGTTTTTTTATTAGTTACACATTTTTTTATTTATTTATCATTTCGGGGTGGTGTTTATCTTGTTTAGTTTAAAGTATTGGCTTTGTGAAAATTATGTTACATTCTTTGCGTGATGATATATATATATATATATATATATATATATATATATATATATATATATATATATATATATATATATACAATTTAATGTTGATATTCATATACATTCTGTCTCAGACATTGAGCATTTTTGCCCATAAATGTAGCATACCTTCAAAATAAATTTTTCATCTGTGTATATATATATATATATATATATATATATATATATATATATATCAAATGCACGTGAAACTTGTTTTAGCTATGAAAACGAAACAAACCGAAAATAAATATACCAGATTTTCTTTCTTCCTTTTTCTCCATATCTTCATTCGAAACGTTGTAATAAATATGGCGACAAAGATGAGGACAATAGTCCGAATAATGTAAATAGTGTACATAATACCTCATCTCAGAAATATAGACAGATA